TTGGACCCAAAACACGATTCTATGGTGCTATTTCATGGATTAGGAGTGAAAATTTAAGAAATTAATGGACAAAAATGGTGGTTTAGGGCTTGAACTTAAGTGAGCAAAAATTGGGGATTTGAAGGGTCAATTGTACTCCGATTCTTGTGTTTTTAATATGTATAAACTCATGGGGAGATAAGGAATCCGCTGATATGAACATTTCTGAGTTTCGAGAAGTGGGCCCGGGGCTCGGGTTTTTGCTAATTTCGAGATTTTTGATATTTTTCGATTGGGTTTTGTTCCTTTAGCATATTGTGACGTATTCGCTCTGATTTTGGTCAGATTCGACGCGCGAGGAGGCCGATTTGAGAGGCAAGGGCATAGCGAGCTAGAGTTTGGCCGGTCTGAGGTGAGTAATGAATGTAAATGATGTCCTGAGGGTTTGAAACCCCGGATTTGCACATCGTAGTGTTATATTGAGGTGAGACACGCGCTTGACGATGAGCGCGGGATCGTTTACTATTGGGGATTTGGACTTGGTCCGTCCTGAGTGATGTTTTTACCGCGTAATTGATTGAAGCATATTTGGTTTCATTATTTGATTTGACTAATTGTCATATTTGGGCTTCATGCCAATTATTTGAACCCTTCGGGGATTGCTATCACTGTTTTCTTACTATTTTGACATATTACTTGAACTCAGTCCTATTGTTTAATACTGTTTTACAAACTCGACCACTTTTACTCCGATTTGAAGCTTAAATGAAATTTCTAATGATGTTTTGGGCTGAGAACTACTATTTTACTATGGCCCGAGGGGCTTATGTGATTTCTGGACTGAGTATGGATCGGGCTGTGCGCCGCAGCAGTATTATATTGATATTGGTACCAGGCCGAGGGCCTAGCTGATGCCACGAGATGGCTTGATATTGCGCTTGGGCCGTAAGGGGCCCCTCCCAGAGTCTGCACACCCCCAGTAAGCGCCGTCGGCGATAAATAAATGGATCGGGCTGCACGCCGCAGCGGGTACTAGAGAGTACCGTATTATGTGCTGCATTCCTTATTTAGCTATCATTTATTTGCTTATATGTTGTAGATTTTCCATATTTCTACTTCACTAGTTTATTGATTTCATGCTACTTGGTTTAAACTGTCGTATTATAGATTACAATGTGTTTATCCATGATTTCTTATTCTCAGCCTTTATTTATGTTTATTACTCACTGGGTCGGAGTACTCACATTACTCCATGCACCTTGCGTGTAGATCCAGGTGCATCTGAGGCTGAGTGAGGATTTTCTGCTGAGTAGCACATTCCTGGGAGCATCGAGGTAGCTGCAATGGCATCCGCAGCCCTGATCTCTCCCTTTTATCTTTCATTTTTATTTCGTATTCTCTAGACTGCTATGCATTAGGATGATAAACCTGTATTAGAGGCTCAGACTTGTGACACCGGATCCTTTTGGGCTATGTAGTAGGATTTTATTTGATATTCCGCATGTTAAATTCTTATTTCAAACTTCTAGTGTTATGACTTGGTTATTTATCTGTGTTAATCAATAATGAACTGTATAAGGAATTGGGTTAAGGTTGTGAAATTGGTCGGGCTTGCCTAGCATTGTGTTGGGCGCCATCACGACTGGGTTGGGGTCATGACAAGTTGGTATCAGAGCCTAGGTTACTAGGTCTCGCAAGTCATGAGCCGGTTTAGTAGAGTCTCGCGGATCGGTACGGAGACGTCTGTATTTATCCTCGAGAGGCTGCAAAACCTTTAGGAAAAACCTCACATTCTTGAAATTCTTGTCGTGCGGCTTTGTTGAACTGAGAACTAAAACTTCTATTATTCTATTCTCTCACAGATGGTGAGGACACGAGCGACCGGACGAGGTGGACGACCACCAGTACCACCCATTGAGGCCACCAGAGGCCGTGGACGCGGTCGTGGTCGTGGCAGAGGCAGAGTAGCGAGGGCAGCACCTGTTGATCCACCAGCTGCCCCAGCTCCAGATCAAACTCCAGCAGCACCAGTTCAAGCACCAGCTGTGCCCATCGTGATTCCGGGTCTTCAGAAGACCTTGGCTCAGATCTTGACAGTTTGCACTGGCCTAGCTCAGGCAGTTTCAGCCACCACGGCAGCAGCTACTTCGCAGGCAGGGGGAGGCAATCAGACCCCCGCTGCTCGCACACCCGAGCAGAGAGTGCAGGGACTACAGATGCCAGAGGCACCTCCAGCTCAGCAGGTTGCACCAGCACAGGAGTTCAGGGTTCCAGTTATGCCGGAGGATGAGCAGCGTCGTCTTGAGAGGTTTGGTAGACTCCAGCCTCCGACATTCAGTGGTGCTGAGGGCGAGGATGCCCAGGGTTTTCTTGACAGGTGTCAGCGGATGCTCCGTACGACAGGGATTCTTGAGGCTAGTGGTGTGGCATTTACCACCTTTCAGTTTACCGGGGCTGCTCTTACCTGGTGGGAGGACTTTGAGAGACGTAGGCCTGCCGGCGCAACACCCCTTTCTTGGCAGCAGTTCTCCGCTCTCTTCTTGGAGAAGTATGTACTGCAGTCCCGCAGAGAGGAGCTGCGTAGACAGTTCGAGTGGTTGACACAGGTGGATATGTCCGTGACCCAGTATGAGGTGAGGTTTTCATAGTTGGCCCGTCATGCTATTTGGATGATTCCGACAGATCGTGAGAGGATTCAGAGGTTTGTAGATGGCCTTAACTACCATCTCCGTATTCTGATGACTAGAGAAAGAGTATTGGGTGCTACGTTTGAGGAGGTGGTGGATATCGCTCGTGAGATCGAGTTAGTTCGCCGTCGAGAGCGAGAGGAGAGGGANAGTCCTATTAACTAAAAACTGATTATTATGTGAAATTAACCTAGAAATTCATGGAAATTTAGCCAAAAATGGAAGAACTAGGGCTTGAGATTTTGAGATTTTAAATTGGGATTTGAGGGGTCATTTGGACTCCGATTTTGGTGTTCTTTATATGCATAGACTCGTGGCGAGATAAGGAACCCGTTGATGTAAAAATTTCTGAGTTTCGAGAAGTGGGCCTGGGGCTCGAGTTTTGCTAATTTCGGGATTTTTGATATTTTTCGATTGTTTTCGATTGGATTTTGTTCCTTTAGCATATTGTGACGTATTTGCTCTGGTTTTGGTCAGATTCGACGCGCGAGGAGTCCGATTTGAGAGGCAAGGGCATAGCGAGCTAGAGTTTTGGCCGGCTTGAGGTGAGTAATGAATGTAAATGATGTCCTGAGGGTTTGAAACCCCGGATTTGCACATCGTAGTGTTATATTGAGGTGAGACACGCGCTTGACGATGAGCGCGGGGTCGTTTACTATTGGGGATTTGGACTTGGTCCGTCCCGAGTGATGTTTTTACCGCGTAATTGATTGAAGCTTGTTTGGTATCATTATTTTATTTGACTAATTGTCATATTTGGGCTTCATGTCAATTATTTAAACCCTTAGGGGATTGCTATCACTGTTTTCTCACTATTTTGACATATTTCTTGAACTCAGTCCTATTGTTTAATACTGTTTTATAAACTCAGCCACTTTTACTCCGATTTGAAACCTAAAAGAAATTTCTAATGATGTTTTGGGCTGAGAACTACTATTTTACTATGGCCCGAGGGGCTTATGTGATTTCTAGACTGAGTATGGATCGGGCTGCGCGCCGCAGCAGTATTATATTGATATTGATACCAGGCCGAGGGCCTAGCTGATGCCATGAGATGGATTGATATTGCGCTTGGGCCGTAAGGGGCCCCTCCCGGAGTCTGCACATCCCTAGTGAGCGCCATCGACGATAAATAAATGGATCGGGCTGCACGCCGCAGCGGGTACTAGAGAGTACCGTACTATGTGTTGCATTTCCTTTATTTGGTTATCATTTAGTTGCTTATCCGTTGTAGTTTTTCCATGTTTCTACTTCATTGGCTTATTGATTTCATACTATTTGGTTTAATCTGCTGTATTATAGATTACAATGTGTTTATCCAGGATTTCTTATTCTCAGCCTTTATTTATGTTTATTACTCATTGGGTCGGAGTACTCACATTACTCCCTGCACCTTGCGTGCAGATCCAGGTGCATCTGAGGCTGTTGAGGATTTTCAGTTAGGCAGCGCATATCCGGGAGCATCGAGGTAGCTGCATTGACGTCCGCAGTTCTGATCTCTCCCTTTTATCTTCTTGTTTCCTCCGCATTTTCTAGATTTGCTTTGCATTAGGTTGGTATTTATGTATTAGATGCTCAGACTTGTGACACCGGATCTATTGGGCTATGTAATAGTATGGTCATTTGAAATTTCTCACATTTAACTCTTATTTCAGACTTCTATTATGTTGGTTTGGTAATTTAATCGTGTTAGCTAATAATGAACTGTATAATGAATTGGGTTAAGGTTGTTAATTGGTCGGGCTTGCCTAGCAGTGTGTTGGGCGCCATCACAACCGGGATTGGGGTCGTGACAGGGGGGGGGGGAGGGGAGAACCCGTTTTTGACTCTGTTATTAGGAAAAGCGACAACCGTTGGTCGCTATTTTTGGTCGGTAATTGAGTTTTGACCGTTTGACCAAAATAGCGACCAACGTTGGTCGCTATTTCTAAAAAAAAAATTATTTCTTTTTCTTTTTTGGTTTTTAAATATTATAAGCTATAAAAAAAATTATTATTAGCTATAAATATTTATTTTATTTAACTACAATTATTATAAATAATTATAAACTATAAGCATAATCTTTAAAAAAATTATATTAACTAGGTAATTACTTTTAATAGATTATAATAGCNACCTGCCGGGCATGCCACCGGACAGGGACATTGATTTTGGTATTGACCTGGTGCCGGGCACTCAGCCCATCTCTACTCCGCCATATCGTATGGCACCAGCGGAGTTGAAAGAATTGAAGGAGCAGCTTCAGGACTCCTAGATAAGGGGTTCATTCGGCCTAGTGTGTCACCGTGGGGTGCGCCAGTTCTGTTTGTGAAGAAGAAGGATGGCACAATGAGAATGTGCATCGATTATAGGCAATTGAACAAGGTAACAATTAAGAACAAGTATCCCCTGCCTCGCATTGATGATTTGTTCGACCAGCTTCAGGGAGCGAGGGTGTTTTCCAAGATTGATCTTCGTTCGGGCTATCACCAGTTGAAGATCAGGGATTCAGATATTCTTAAGACTGCTTTCAGGACTAGATATGGTCACTATGAGTTTCTTGTCATGTCTTTCGGGCTGACCAATGCCCCAGCAGCGTTCATGCATCTGATGAACAGTGTATTTCGGCCTTATCTGGATTCGTTCGTTATTGTTTTCATTGATGATATTCTGGTGTACTCGCGTAGTCAGGAGGAGCACGCGGAGCATTTGCGAGTAGTATTGCAGAGATTGAGGGAGGAGAAGCTTTATGCAAAGTTCTCCAAGTGTGAGTTTTGGCTCAGTTCAGTGACTTTCTTGGGACACGTGGTGTCCAGTGAGGGTATTCAAGTTGATCCAAAGAAGATAGAGGCGGTTCAGAGTTGGCCTAGACCGTCCTCAGCCACAGAGATTCGTAGTTTTCTTGGGTTGGCAGGCTATTATCACTGATTTGTTTAGGGATTTTCATCCATTGCATCGCCCTTGACCAGGTTGACTCAGAAGGGTGCTTCATTTGTATGGTCGGACGAGTGTGAGGAGAGCTTTCAGAAGCTCAAGACAGCTTTGACCACAACTCCAGTATTGATTTTGCCATCAGCTTCAGGTTCATATACCGTATATTGTGATGCTTCGCGAGTTGGGATTAGTTGTGTATTGATGCAGGACGGTGGGGTTATTGCTTATGCTTCTCGTCAGTTGAAGCCCCATGAGAAGAACTACCCTGTTCATGATTTGGAGTTGGCTGCCATAGTTCATGCCTTGAAGATTTGGAGGCACTATTTGTATGGCGTATCTTGTGAGGTATTCACTGATCATCGCAGTCTTCAACATTTGTTCAAGCGAAAGAATATTAATTTGAGGCAGCGGAGATGGCTAGAGTTGCTTAAGGATTATGATATTACTATTCTGTATCATCCGGGGAAGGCCAATGTAGTGGCCGATGCTTTGAGCCGAAAGGCAGTGAGTATGGGGAGTTTGGCGTATATTCCAGTCGGGGAGAGACCCCTTGCAGTTGATGTTCAGGCCTTGGCCAATCGGTTGGTAAGGCTAGATATTTCGGAGCCCAGTCGGGTGTTGGCTTGTGTGGTTTCTCGGTCTTCCTTGTATGATCGAATTAGAGAGCGCCAGTATGATGATCCGCATTTGCTTGTCCTTAAGGACAGAGTTCAGCATGATGATGCCAGAGATGTGACCATTGCTGATGATGGCGTGTTGAGGATGCAGGGTCGGATCTGCGTGCCCAATGTGGATGGGCTTCGGGAGTTGATATTGGAGGAGGCCCATAGCTCGCGGTATTCCATTCATCCGGGTTCCGCGAAGATGTATCAGGATCTTAGACAGCACTATTGGTGGCGGAGGATGAAGAAAGATATTGTGGGATTTGTGGCTCGGTGTCTCAATTGTCAACAGGTGAAATATGAGCATCAGAGACCTAGTGGCTTGCTTCAGCAGATGGATATTCCCGAGTGGAAGTGGGAGAGGATTACTATGGACTTTGTTGTTGGACTTCCTCGGACTTTGAAGAAATTTGATGCTATTTGGGTGATTGTCGATCGGCTGACCAAGTCCGCGCACTTCATTCCTGTGTGTACTACCTATTCTTCAGAGCGGCTGGCAGGGATTTATATCCGGGAGATTGTTCGATTGCATGGTGTTCCGGTTTCTATCATCTCAGATAGGGGTACTCAGTTTACTGCGCAGTTTTGGAGAGCCGTGCAGAGAGAGTTGGGTACTCAGGTGGAGTTGAGCACAGCGTTTCATCCTCAGACGAACGGACAATCCTAGCGTACCATTCAGATATTGGAGGACATGTTGCATGCTTGTGTCATTGATTTTGGAGGTTCATGGGATGAGTTTTTGCCACTTGCAGAGTTTGCCTACAACAACAACTATCAGTCTAGCATTCAGATGGCACCGTATGAGGCCTTGTATGGGAGACGATATAGATCTCCAGTTGGTTGGTTCGAGCCCGGCGAGGCTAGGCTACTGGGGACAGATTTAGTTCAGGATGCCGTAGAGAAGGTGAAGGTGATTCAGGAGAGACTACGTACAGCGCAGTCGCGTCAGAAAAGTTATGCAGACCGGAAGGTTTGAGATGTGTCTTTCATGGTTGGTGAAAAGGTCTTGCTGAAAGTTTCGCCTATGAAGGGTGTTATGAGATTTGGAAAGAAAGGGAATTTTCGTCCGCGGTTCATTGGGCATTGTGAGGTACTTAGGAGGATTGGGGAGGTGGCTTATATGCTTGCTTTGCCACCCAGCTTGTCGAGTGAGCATCCGGAATTCCATGTTTCTATGCTCCGGAAGTATGTTGGGAACCCGTCTCATGTGTTGGACTTCAGCACGGGTCAGTTGGATGATGATTTGACCTTTGATGTGGAGCCAGTGGCTATTTTGGGTCTACAGGTTCGAAAGTTGAGGTCGAAGGATATAGCTTCAGTGAAGGTGCAGTGGAGAGGTCGGCCCGTGGAGGAGGCCACCTGGAAGACCGAGTGGGAGATGTGGAGCAGATATCCTCACCTATTTGAGGCTTCAGGTATGTTTCTCGACTCGCTCGAGGACGAGCGTTTGTTTAAGTTGGGGAGAATGTGACGACCCGACCCGTCGTCTCGTGAGTTACCGCTCCGTTTTCCCCATTTTCTGCTTCTTTATGCTTCGTTATCCGTGTTATATATGTTCGAGTTGGTTTGGAGTGGTTTTGGTAGGAAATGAGACACTTAGTCTCTTGAAGGAAGGCTTGGTTTGGAAAAGTCAACCAGATATTGACTTATGTGTTAGAGGGCTCGGATATGAATTCCAATGATTCGGTTAGCTTCGGGGGATGATTTGTGACTTAGGAGTGTGATTAGAAGTGATTTTGGAGGTTCGGTGTAGAGTTAGGCTTGAATTGGCGAAGTTAGTATTTTGGCGATTCCCGGTTGATAGGTGAGATTTTGATCCGAGGGTCGGAATGGGATTCCAAGAGTTGTTGTAGCTTTTTTATGTGATTTGGGATGTGCGTGCAAAATTTCAGGTCATTCGGAGGTGGTTTGGTTGGGTTCTTGATCAAATGCGTGTTTCGGAATTTTTAGAAGAACTTAGGCTTGAATCCGATGTAATTTGATGGTTTTGGTGTTGTTTCAGGTGTTTTGATGATGGGAACAAGTTTGAATAAGGTTTTAGGAGGTGTGGGTGCTTTTGGTTGGGGTCCCGGTGGGCCTCGGGGTGATTCCGGATGGCTAACGGAGAGTTTTGGACTTGTGCAAATTGCAGACCCTACTGCTTCTAGTATTTCCGCTTCTGCGGAATTGGGACCCCAGAAGCGGTATCGCAGGAGCGGAGGAAGTCGCAGAAGCGGAAAGGCAAGGGAAATGCTGGAATCGCAGATGCGGATAGGGGGACCGCACTTGCGGAGCCGCAGATGCGGTTATAGGACCGCAGATGCGGTCAGGCTGGACTTAAGGAATTCCGCAGATGCGGAGGTAGGACCGCAGAAGCGCTTATGACTGGGCAGAAGGTATTTAAGTTCATCTTCGCGAATTTTGAAGGGTTTCTCATTTCTAACTTCGGACTTGGAGAATTGTGGGCGATTTTGAAGAGGGATTCCAAGGAGCTTCGATAAGGTATGGATTTTTGGACCCAAAACACGATTCTATGGTGCTATTTCATGGATTAGGAGTGAAAATTTAAGAAATTAATGGACAAAAATGGTGGTTTAGGGCTTGAACTTAAGAGAGCAAAAATTGGGGATTTGAAGGGTTAATTGTACTCCGATTCTTGTGTTTTTGATATGTATAAACTCGTGGGGAGATAAGGAATCCGTTGATGTGAAAATTTCTGAGTTTCGAGAAGTGGGCCCGGGGCTCGGGTTTTTGCTAATTTCGAGATTTTTTATATTTTTCGATTGTTTTTGATTGGGTTTTGTTCCTTTAGCATATTGTGACATATTTGCTCTGCTTTTGGTCAGATTCGACGCGCGAGGAGGCCTATTTGAGAGGCAAGGGCATAGTGAGCTAGAGTTTTTGCCGGTTTAAGGTGAGTAATGATGTAAATGATGTCCTGAGGGTTTGAAACCCCGGATTTGCACATCGTAGTGCTATATTGAGGTGAGACACGCGCTTGACGATGAGCGCGGGATCATTTACTATTGGAGATTTGGACTTGGTCCGTCCCGAGTGATGTTTTTACCGCGTAATTGATTGAAGCATATTTGGTATCATTATTTGATTTGACTAATTGTCATATTTGGGCTTCATGCCATTTATTTGAACCCTTCGGGGATTGCTATCACTGTTTTCTCACTATTTTGACATATTACTTGAACTCAGTCCTATTGTTTAATACTGTTTTATAAACTCAGCCACTTTTACTCCGATTAGAAACTTAAATGAAATTTCTAATGATGTTTTGGGCTGAGAACTACTATTTTATTATGGCCCGAGGGGCTTATGTGATTTCTGGACTGAGTATGGATCGGGCTGTGCGCCCCAGCAGTATTATATTAATATTGGTACCAGGCCGAGGGCCTAGCTGATGCCACGAGATGGCTTGATATTGCGCTTGGGCCGTAAGGGGCCCCTCCCAGAGTCTGCACACCCCAGTGAGCGCCGTCGACGATAAATAAATGGATCGGGCTGCACGCCGCAGCGGGTACTAGAGAGTACCGTATTATGTGCTGCATTCCTTATTTAGCTATCATTTATTTGCTTATCTGTTGTAGATTTTCCATGTTTCTACTTCACTAGTTTATTGATTTCATGCTACTTGGTTTAAACTGCCGTATTATAGATTACAATGTGTTTTATCCATGATTTCTTATTACCAGCCTTTATTTATGTTTATTACTCACTGGGTCGGAGTACTCACATTACTCCATGCACCTTGCGTGCAGATCTAGGTGCATCTGAGGCTGAGTGAGGATTTTCTGCTGAGTAGCACATTCCCGGGAGCATCGAGGTAGCTGCAATGGCGTCCGCAACCCTGATCTCTCCCTTCTATCTTTCATTTTTATTTCGTATTCTCTAGACTACTATGCATTAGGATGATAAACCTGTATTAGAGGCTCAGACTTGTGACATCGGATCTTTTTGGGCTATGTAGTAGGATTTTATTTGATATTCCGCATGTTAAACTCTTATTTCAGACTTCTAGTGTTATGACTTGGTTATTTATCTGTGTTAATTAATAATGAACTGTATAAGGAATTGGGTTAAGGTTGTGAAATTGGTCGGGCTTGCCTAGCATTGTGTTGGGCGCCATCACGATCGGGGTTGGGGTCGTGACAACTTAATATTATTAAATCATGTTTTAGACTGTTGTATGTTGTTTAACTGTTTAACAAGCTAAATTAGGTTTAGTTGGCTGGCCTTGTCTTCACGAGAGGTGCCATCACGATCGAGTTCGGGGAATAGGGTCGTGGCAGTATTTCTAATATTTGGAACATTAAACTAACTAAGGTCTTGACTATTATATCTTTCCTTATTTGAACTATATATAAACCCTAATATTTAGGTATTTACCCTACCAAAATAAGTTGTGTAAGTCGAGTAAAGTTATTTTCAAAAGAATTTATAATTTTAAAAATTATTTATTCCGAAACAATAATAATCCAGGTGATATTAAAAGTTTTTCACTTTGAGATATCAGAAACTCCAGTTGCTAAGTTAACTGTAGAAGAAAAAAACACAAACTTAAAGCAAATTCTACAGAAATCATACTCAAGAGTTCATGACTATTTTTAGATTGCTAATGTCTATTTCCAACTCAAGCGATTATTGTTTAAGAAAATTATAATAGAGTTTTCGTAGTTTGTTCTACTATCAATAAATGCTTTTAGCGTATAGCTATTACATGTAACAACCAAATATTAGAGTAGGGATATGTGGCTGACTGATATTATCTATTATTATTGAGCTAAAGAAAGTAAGAGCATTTATATCAACATGTATAATCTCTTTATTATGATAGTAATAAGAACCTAAAGCTATCCCTAAAGAAAGTCCAAATAATAAAGTATATGGGGACTTTCGTAGAATAGAGATCTTCCTTTATTCAATTTGGGAAATAAGGATTAATGTTTATTATTGCTGTAGGAACTTGATTTTGTTTTTCCTTAATAAAAATTAATATCTACGTAGTTTTTATAAAATTTATATTCATCGATACGAGATACACGCGCAACGCGCTCCTTAGCGAAATTTCTTTCACCTTTTCATCCTTTATAAGTGTATTCTAAGTTGGATAAAGTTTACAAATACAAGTGTACTTTTTTGGAGAAAAAATAAAATTACCATACAACAAAAAAAGGAAAAAGAAGAAGAGAATTAGTTGAGAACTCCTTCTTCAATTAATATATGTAACAAAGAGTTGTCTTAGGTTAAAAAAGAAAAAAAAAGCATTAATAGGAGAATAGATAAGAAATATCTGATGTACCTATTAGTGAGAGGTCAAAATTTGGTTAGTTAAAAAAAAAAAATAGCAAGAGAATAAGTAAGAAACTGTTATAAAATAAAGACAATAAAAGAAAGACAAATATAGAGAGAAACTGATATATTATTCAACTTCAAAACTTATGTACATAATAAACTGAAATCTCCTTTATTTATAGAAGAAAGCAAGCTGCTACTGTACCAGATATAGATAATCTTCAACTGGAGGGTAATGTTCATCCATAACGGAAGTATCGAAAGGATAAGCATAATGTACCCGGTATGGATAATCTTTTACCGGGGATAATGTTTATCCATAACGGAGTATCGAAACGATAAGCTTATTATACCCGGTATGGATAACCTTCTATCGAGGATAATGTTTATCCATAACGGAGTATCGAAAGGATAAGCTTATTGTACCCGGTATGGATAATCTTCTACCGGGTAACGGAGTATCGAAAGGATAAGCTTATTGGACCCGGTATGGATAATCTTCTACCGGGGGTAATATTTATCCATAACGGAGTATCGAAAGGATAAGCTTATTGTACCCGGTATGGATAATCTTCTACCGGGTGTAATGTTTATCCATAACCGAGTACCAAAGAGATAAGCTTCTTCAGGAGGCTTATTTCTAATAGAGTACTAAATAGATAAACATATTTACGGCGGAGTCCCATATGGATAAGCTTCTTCAGGAAGCCTATTTACAACGGAGTACTAAATGAACATTCATAATATAATATATTTATAACACTCCCCCTTGGATGTTCATTAAAAGATAATGTGCCTCATTAAAACCTTACTAGGAAAAACCCCGTGGAAAAAAATTCTATTGAAGGAAAAAGAGTACACATATTTAGTAATACGCATTGCTAGGTGCCTCATTAAAAACCTTATAAGGAAAACCCTATAGGAAAAAACCTTAGTAAGGAAAAAAGACTACATAGCGTATTTTACTCCCCCTAATGAAAATCTTGTTTCAAATATTTTAGTCTCCGCATTCTAATCTTGTATTTGCATAACCAATACGATCTGTACCACCTTTGTTAGAATTAGCAAGATACATAAGTGCATAGCAATTGCACTGAGATAGAGTATTTCAGGACAAATGAGTTCCTCATACTCTTCTGGAGGTCCGAACGGATCCTTATTCACTTCAAATGATCGAACACCCATTGGTGTACTTAACGGGTGCGCTTTGTCCATGTAAAGGCATTTTACGACCCTTTTTGTATAGGCAGATTGATGGATAAAAATCCCATCTGCTAAATGTTTAATTTGCAGACTAAAATAAAGTTTTGTGTTTCCAAGATCTTTCATCTCAAATTCTTTCTTTAGATATTCAATTGCCTTTTGGAGCTCTTCTGGAGTTCCAACAAGATTTATGTCATCAACATAAACAGCAAGTATAACAAATTCTGATGATATTTTCATTATAAAAAAATACATGGACAAATAACATCACTTAGGTAACCCTCTTTCAGCAAATATTCACTGAGGCAATTATACCACATGCGCTCAGATTCCTTTAAACCGTACAAAGACCTGTGTAATCTGATCGAGTACATTTCTCGAGACTTTGAACTATATGCTTCAGGCATTTTTAAATCCTTCAAGAATTTCTATAGAGATTTAATCAAATGAGTCATATAGGTTATGACTCGCATTTAAATGGTATGACATCTTCAGGTGTCTGGACTACTGGTCCAATCCTCACAATATTTCACAGTATTATGCACTATATTGTATCAAATATATCGTCGACGATCATTTTGTATCGGTTCCCAAGCGACATAACTTGTTGAGATCTCATCACTTTCTTTATTTTCAGGTACCTCAACTTCTTCTGGAGTTTCATGAAATGTTATGTCGTGGGCTCTTCTAGAGCTCATTTCCTCCTCATTATGATCATTTTGATCATTAGCTCCTTATCATTTTTCAAGGATTGTTACCTTTGGAACCGATTGGTCTACCACGCTTCATGCGTATAGTAAACTCT